GAACTTTATTTCATACTAAGCTTTACCTATATAGGCAGTCCCTGGGTCACCGACAACCTGCCATAGAGCATTCTGTGTACTTACATACAAGCTCCCAAGGGTCCCCATAAGATAATTTGTAGTTAAATGATTAAATCAATAATTTAGAAACTCGATTCTTCCATGCATGCAAACAAACCCGCATGACATAAGTGTTTCATCGGTCACCGAGCAGCACCTTTAAACTAGTGGCTAGTCTCATGGACAGACAGAGAAGCAGCTGATAAAAACACAAGAATACAAAGAATCAGAAGTTCCAGAGCTGAGAAAATTACACAAAAGAATTAGCTGAAGCCTTTCATCTCATTTGAGAAGGATTCGCTAAGCTTGAGGAGCAAGGTGAGCAGTTGACCAGGCAGTTAGTGAGGACATAGGCTGCTGAGGACAAAGAGTGCCATGGCATCATAGCTCACTGCATCCTCAAACTCTTGGGCTCAAGTGATCCTCTTACCTCAGCCTCCCAAGTAGCTGGGACTACTAACTTTTTTTCCCTCTCATCCATGATGAGAAGGAAAAGGCTGCGCAAACAGCCCTAGATACCTTCCTTTCTCTCTCTTTTTTCTCTCTTTCTCTTTCTTTTTCTTTTGAGACAGAGAAGAAGGCAGTGGCCTCATCATACCTCATAGCAACTTCAAACTCTGGGCACATTGGGATCCTCCTACCTCAGCCTCCTGAGTAGCTGGGACAGGGGGATGTCACCATGTTGCCCAGGTTAGTCTCAAAAACCTAACCTCAAAGGTCCTTCTTTTCACCTCCAACTCCTAACATGCTTGGATGACAGGCAGGAACCACTGCATCCAGCCTCCGTTTTGTTTTCTAATGCACTTATCTCTACATCCACCATTAGTAATCCCTCCCTTTAATTGGTTGTTCTTTTTCCAGCTTTGTAAATTGAATGTTTGGTTTATATTAAAATATTCTTTCCTTAATTATGAAAGAACATATGACTATTAATTCTTCTTAGATCACGGCTATGGCCATAACCCATGGTGATAATTTATGAGATTCCTATTATTATTTATTTCATAATAATCTTGAATTTATTCCTTAACCCAAATATATTTTTAATGTTTTAATATTTTCAAATGTTTAGATTTCATTCTATGTTTAGTATTAATTTCTATTTTTACATGTGTATACATTTATGGGGTACAAATGCAATTTGGTTACTTTCATAGACTATGTATCAGAGCTAATGTGATTGATTTAGTCTTCATTTATCTTTGAAATGATAGTAATAATTCATTTTTTTTATGTTTTATTTGCTTGTTTGTTTATTCGTTTATTTATTGAGACAGACAGTCACTCTCTCACTCTGGGAAGAATGCCATGGCATCATAGCTCACAGCATCCTCAAACTCTTGGGCTTAAGTGATCCTCTTACCTCAGCTTCCCAAGTAGCTGGGACTACTAACTTTTATAATGTTTATGGAAAAGTCCAGGAACAGTGGCTTACACCTATAATCCCAACACTTTGGGAGGCTGAGGTGGGAGGACGTTTGAGCTTGTGAATTGGAGACCAGCCTAAGCTACAGTGAGACCCCATCTCTAAAAATAGCCTGGTATTGCAGTGAGTGTCTGTAGTCCCAGTTACTCAGGAGGCTGAGAAAAGAGAATCACTTGAGCTCAAGAGTTAGAGAGGTTGCTGTGAGCTATAATGCCAGGGCACTCTACCGGGGATGACGAAGTGAGACTCTGTCTAAAAAAAAAAAA